TCCATATCTATCACCATGCACAAAACTCAAGTCCAAATAAATCAAAGACCTCAACATAAAGCTGGCCATACTGAACCTTATAGAAGAGAAAATAGGAAATACACTTGAACGCATTGGCACAGGGAACCATTTCCTAAATATAACCCCAGCAGCCCAGACACTGAGAGAAACAATTAATAAATGGGACCTCCTGAAACTGAAAAGCTTCTATAAAGCAAAGGACATGATCAACAAGACAAAACGACAGCCTACAGAATGGGAAAAGATCTTCACTAACGCCACATCAGACAGAGGTCTGATCTCCAAAATATACAAAGAACTCAAGAAATTGGACACCAAAAGATCACATAATCCAATAAAAAAAAATGGAGTACAGACCTAAACAGAGAACTCTCAACAGAGGAATCTAAAATGGCTGAAAGACACTTAAGGAAATGTTCAGCATCCTTAGTCATCAGAGAAATGCAAATCAAAACAACTCTGAGATTCCATCTTACACCTGTAAGAATTGCCAAGATCAAAAACAGTGATGACAACTTATGCTGGAGAGGTTGTGGGGGAAAGGGAACACTCCTGCATTGTTGGTGGGAATGTAAGCTGGTACAACCCCTTTAGATGTCAGTGTGGCTATTTCTCAGAAAATTTGGAAACAACCTTCCCCAAGACCCAGTAATACCACTTTTGGGTATATATCCAAAGAATGCTCAATCGTGCCATAAGGACATGTGTTCAACTATGTTCATAGCAGCACTGTCTGTAATAGACAGAACCTGGAAACAACCTAAATGCCTCTCAACCTAAGAATGGATAAGGAAAATGTGGAATATTTACACAATGGAGTACTACACAGCAGAAAAAAATAATGAAATCTTGAATTTTGCAGGAAAATGGATGGAGCTAGAAAAAATTATTTTGAGTGAGGTAACCCAGACACAGAAAGATAATTATCACATGTACTTACTCATAGGCAGTTTTTAAACATAAAGCAACGAAAACCAGCCTACAAACCACAATTCCAGAGAACTTAGACAACAATGAGGACACTAAGAGAAACTTACATAGATCTAATCTACATGGGAAGTAGAAGAAAAACAAGATCTCCTCACTAAATTGGGAGCATGGGGACCTTGGGAGAGAGCTGAAGAGGAGAGGGAATAAGCAGGGAGGGGAAAGGTAGGGAGGGGAGCAGAGAAAAATGTAGAGTTCAATAAAAATCAATAAAAAAGAATGCATTTGTGTTTTCTTTTCTCAATTTCTTTATCATGTGATGTAACGTCAATTGTGAGGATATCAATTGGTTATCATATTTAAGTTTGAGTTACAAAGAGAATGTCTCTCAAGAGACATTGACACCTATTCTAAATTTATAATGTGGTTGTGCTTGTACAAAGGAAAGTTAAATTGTATTTGGAATGTTTATGACCTGGTGAAATATACAATGCATTTGTAATTGTATATGGAATAGTTATATCATATTTGGGTGTAATTAAGAACTGATTGTTATTTTCATTTGGAAATTAAGTATCTGTGCTGACTAGTTTTATGTCAACTTGATGCAAGCTAAAATTATCTAAAAGGAGGGAACCTCAGTTGAGAAAATGCCTCCATAAGTTAGGGCTGTAGGGCATTTTCTTAATTAGTGATTGTTAGGGGAAGCCTCAGCTCATTGCGGGTGGTGCCACCCTTGAGCTGGTGGTCCTGAATTCTATAAGAAAAGAGACTGAGCAAGCCACATTGAGCAAGCCGCTAAGCAGCACCCCTCCATGATCTCCACATTGGCTTCTGCTCCCAGATTCCTGACCTGTTTGGATCCTGTCCTGGTTTTCTTTGATGATGAACAGTGATATGGAAGTGTAAGCCAAATAAACCCTTATCTTGCAGAACTGCGTTACTTTGATTGTGGTGTTTCATCACAGCAACAGTAATTCCAACAAAGGCAGCCTGACATATGGAGATACGATTGTGTCGCATTGATTTGTGATGGCTATTCTTGCTTGTCAACTTGACTAATTAATTAACAAAAACTTAAATGACTGGGCACACCCCTGAGGGATTTTTTCCTTAAACATTTAAAGTGGAAAAACGCACCTCTAATCTGGATCTTTGAGATGGGAAGACCAACCTCTAATCCAGATCTTTGACGTGGGAAGACTCATCTTTCATCAGGATCCCTGTGCTGACAGTCTATATAAAGAGCATAGAAGAAGGGAGTTCCCTCAGTCTTTGCCTGCTCGTTCTCATCCTCTCAAGTCCATTCCTCCACTGGCATTAGAGCCTCCTTCTTCAGGATCCCAGTGAACACCGAAGACCAGCTGAGATGTCCAGCCTCCAGGACTGAACACCTACTGGATCCTTGGATCTTCACTCATAGGCATCCATTGTGGGATTCGACGAGCCACAACCCGTAAGTCATTTCACTATATCCCATATATATAAGTTCTGTTTCTAGTAGTGTGACTGGATCATGTGGTAAGCTTATTTCTAACTTTCTGAGGAACCCCCACACTGCTGTCAGTAGTGGTTGGACCAGTTTGCACTCCCATCAGCAGTAAAGAAGTCTTCCCCTCCCCTCCCCCACATACATGCTAGCATTTGTCTCCATTTTTTTAAAATGTCACTTATTCTGACTGGGGTAAGATGAAATCTCAAAGCAGTTTTAGTTTGCATTTTCCTGGTGGCTGTGGATGTTGAACACTTCTTAAAATATTTCTCAGCCACTATAGTTCATCCTTGGAGATCTCTGGTTTCATGGCCCATTTTTAATGGTTTTGTTTGTTTGTTTTCCTGGTGTTTCATGTTTTGGAGCTCCCTGCTGACACCCACTCCTCAACCAGCTTCCTCTCAAGTGACCTCAGCCCAACTCAGCTCCCAAAGGAAAAGGACAAAATTCCCAGTCACCGTGTGGTCTTTAGGAACCAGATTCTACCGCTCATGTGGCCACTCTTCCCCACCAGACCTAGTAGTTCCCCGCAGTGATGACCATTTCTACCCCGTCCCCAAGAACTTACTCTATGTCCAGCGTCATTTACCTAGGCTTCTCCCAGCTTTTCCTGACTTGCACTGCACGGTTATGATTATAGGTCTAACTTTATACCATCTGTGCAATTCCTCAGCTGACTTCATGTCAATTGATATAATACTCCTGAAAGGACAAACCTGCCATCTTCCTTTTAATACATGTCACAATAACGATGAACATGAGACCATGTGTCTAACATTGCCTTGCGAGCTCATCATGCCCATATCCACAGTCTAACTCAGTCCCGTGAGAAATCATGCCCATATCCACAGTCTAACTCAGTCCCGTGAGCTCACCATGCCCATATCCACAGTCTAACTCAGTCCCGTGAGCTCACCATGCCCATATCCACAGTCTAACTCAGTCCCGTGAGCTCATCCTGCCCATATCCACAGTCTAACTCAGTCCTGTGAGAAATCATGCCCATATCCACAGTCTAACTCAGTCCCAGTGCCCTGAGAGCAAAGCAACTTGGGAAAGGAAAAGAGAAAATGAAAAAAGAGAAAAATCAGTTTAAGAAGGAATAATTCAAGCTTGCCAGTGGCTTGAGGAGCACAGTTCTTCGTGGTGGGGAAAGCATGTGGCAGCTGAGCATGTTGTATATAGTCAGGGGCATGTTTCAGCTGGTTACATTGTATGCAGTCAGGGGCATGTTGCATCTGGTCACATTATATGCAGTCAGGGAGCATGTTACATCTGGTCTCATTGTATGCAGTCAGGGTGCATGCTACAGCTGGTCACATTGTATGTAGTCAGGGGCATGTTATAGCTGGTCACATTGTGTGCAGTCAGGGAGCAGAGGCAGATGCTCCCTGGTGTTCATGCTGCTTCCTCTTTTATTGATGTCCTGGATCACAGTGTGGTGTCATCCACATGGAAGAGAATCTTCCTCACTAAATATCTCTGGAATCAATCAACTTGACAGACTTTCCCAGAGGAGTGTTTCCTAGCCAATCCCAAATCAAATTCTCTCTCTCTCTCTCTCTCTCTCTCTCTCCCTCCCTCCCTCCCTCTCTCCCTCTCTCTCTCCCTTTCTCTCTCTCTCTCTCTCTCTCTCTCTCATGCACACATACACACAAATTCACATGAGCAATCACACATACACAGCTATGTGCACTCATACATAGAACCAGACGCTCCGACATTCCTAACAGTTGTGCACACAGACATACACAGGCACATTCATACATAGCAGAAGCAGTCATTTGTGCAGCTGCACACTTCAGGCAGCCGTGTCCATTATAATATCAAAATGTTTTATTTTCCTGATGGTGCTAACTTATATAACCAGGTATTCACTGAATTCTCTGAGATAGAATCTATCCTAAGCTCTTTAGCTAACTCAATAAACAAGTCAGGCAAGCATCTCTGTCTTAACAAAGCTTAAGTCCTAGGGAACAAAGACAGAAGCAAAAATGTTTGAAATTTTTTTCTATAAAGTTAAAAGCGACTAGGATTAAGGAGCATAGAGTCTGGTAATAGAGTAAAGGAGGGAAGGAGAACCAGTCTGGAGGCAGCTTGCGGTTTTAAGTAGGTAGGTGGTTAAGGTAAGCTTTACTGAGATGACTGAGATGGTGAAAAAAAAAATCTGCCAAAGATTTGAAAGATTAGAGGGGGATATTCAAGTAGAAATCTGGAGAAAAGCAATCTGACAAGAGAGAGTCATTTGTACAAAGGCTGGGCCGGGCGTGCCTTCAAGGAGCAGGCAGGAAGCAGCCCTACTGAGGTTGAGAGAGCTTTAGAAGGGGTGTGAAGAGGTGGGAAGCCAGCACTGAGTTGAGTGGCAGTCCTGTAGCTGGTTTTTTTTTTTAACCTTTGCTCTTTGGGGGCCCACCATCCAGCTCTGAAATGAATACACGGAGACTTGTCCTTTCTTATGAACGCCTGGCCTTAGCTTGTTTTATTTCTAGCCAGATTTTCTCAAATTATCCCATCTATTTTTTGCCTCTGGGCTTTTACATTTTTCTATTCTGTACACCTTTCTTTCCTTCTTACTCCATGGCTGGTTGTGTGGCTGGGTGGCTGGCCCCTGGCATCCTCTCTCCTCCTTTACTTGCCCCCCCTTTCTTTTTCTCCTTCTATTTATTATCTCTGCCTGGCAGTCTCACCTACCCCTCCCTCTCCTGCCTAGCTAGTGACCATTCAGCTCTTTATTAGACCAATCAGATGTTTTAGGGAGGCAAAATAACAGTTTCAGAGTTAAAAAAATACAACATTAAAGAATGCAACACATCATTAAACAAATATTCCACAGTGCAAATAAATGTAACATATTTTAAACTAATATTCCATAACGTGGTCCTTTTATGATGATGGCAAAACTCAAATGTCTATTTTATATTAAGATTCACTGTTTGGTTTTCAATGAAAATGTGACGTGATCTGACTTCTGACTGGTGCTTAGCAGTATCTAAAATTAGTTAAATCATTTTATACATTATTATCTGTTCTTCTTTCAAATAGGAAGAAATATGTTTTGATCATGTCTGTGTCTTTTTCATAAATATTTACTGACAAATTGGCAGAGACAGATATCCCTGTGAGGACAGAGTTCCATGGCTTATCTACCTGAAAGCATCACAGCAAATACCTCTGTAAGCCCTTTTGCCCCATTTTCTAGGAGAACAAATAAAATTTTTGTGTGTTTTCTTGATTGTATGTGATTTTGTCTGCCATTCCCTGGACTGTGCCTCTCCAATCTTGCCCATGCATGAGATCATCAGGCATGAACCCCAGAGCCTTCACCTATACAGGGGTTTAGATTTGATTCAAGATGTCCCTTCCAAATCTCCTATTCCAAACTGTACTGACTTCAATTTTTCAGATGTTTGCAGTAGTTACTACATTTCTATTGTTTATTTATGATTTAGATATGTAAATAACTTGAACTTGAATAATTAAATTTAAAATAAGAAATATTTTAAGTTCAATCAAAATTCAAATATCTCACCTTCCCAGAAGCAACTGACTTTGACTATTTTGGGTTGTTTGTTTGCTTGTTTTTGTTACGCCAATGATGTAACCCAAGGTATCACAAACACTAGCTACATATGCTATCCCTGAGCGCATGCCCAGCAGACTTGAAATGTACCATGTAAGTGTTATTCTCAACATCATATGTGCCATTGACATCAATATCCTCATTTTTAGAGCTGTGCTAGGGTTGGCCCTCTGTCTAGATATGGGTTAAAAGCACTGTATGAAAAAGACAGAGAACAGTCTAGCTGACTCCACATTCTGTGGGCTGACAGTGATCGGTCCCCGGGAAGTAACAGCAAAATGGGCTTCAAGTCAATATAGAGGACTATCCAGAAGTGCACAGAAGAGCTCATGGCTGCATGATTCCAAGGCAATCAGGAATATCTATTATGGAAGTCTGGAAGAAGGAAGATAGACACCTTTCAGGGCTGGATTGTACCATATACCACAGGATGGGTTTGGAGGTCAGAGGACACTTGCGGGCATTGGTTCCTAACACCTTGTTGAGCAGGGCCTCCCTTGTTTCTGCTGCTGTGAAGCATACTCCAGGTTGGCTGGTCCTGCAGGCTTCCAGATTGTTCCCTTGTCTCTGCCTCACAATGTCTTAGGAGTGCTAGGATTGCACATGCATGCCACCACACTTTAGGCATGAATGGCAAGCACTTCTATACGCCGAGCCATCTCCCCTGCCTCACCTTTGTGTTTCTGATCTTATGAGGGAGTCAAACAACAGTGACAGAGATGCCAGCTATTTTCTTTACCATATTCTGTAAGAATCAGTCCAACGCATCTTCACACAGACTTGGAGATGTCACTGTTGTCCTATGAACAGATGGTGAAGCTGAATCTTGAATGGTCAGTGCTCATCAAAATCGAGAAAGCATGCCCAAAGGCTTATGGTCACTCTGAAACTCTCATGGTCCCTGGAAACAGGATGTCACAAGAACAAACTTCAAACAACTGAAAATTGCCACAGGGCCCTGGAGAGGAAAGGGGGTGGTAAGCAGGGGTTCCTTTTATTTCCTGTGGATAAATAAGAAGGTGAGTTTTGAAGACATTAACCTTCATCCCCCAGGGCATATGAAAGACAGAGCTAAAACTATGTGGCCATCTCTCTGAGTTCTCCAGTCCCTCCCTCCCCTATTTGATACTTTTCACCCCCTACTGAAGTCTTATTTGCCTCTGCCTCGAAGACAGTGTGACCTCTAAGGCCTGTCTGGCACCAATCCTAAGTAGGTGTTATTTTCTTCAGCAGCTTAGACGTTGGTGAGTGCTCCTGCTCCAGTATATAATGCCCTATCCATGCTGATACAAGAAACCCTAATCAAACAGAGAAGATCAAAATCAAGCCCCCCCCAAGATATAAAAGGAGTCAACCTGTAGGGAATAAGAAGGCAGTCAGCAGGTGTGGGGGGCACAGAGAGAGCAGGGTGAATATGAGCAGTCAGGTGTCGGGGGCACAGAGAGTGCAGGGTGAGTATGGTCACAACATGGTTTATGTATGTATGAATTGTCAAAAAGGACATAAGGATGATAAGGTGTGTGTGTACATACATATACAAATGAGACTTTGGAGAAGTAATTCCCTGTTTCACAGGGTTATTTTGAGGATGAAAGACAATTAATTTGACATGCTACTGTGTCCATGGATAGGGACCTGTAACTGCTTTGGAGCTTTGGGAAACAAGAATCATGGAACATAAGAATCTCTTCCCTCAAGAGCATGTGTGTAAAAGCTAAAAAGAAAAACAAACAATAAGAAAAGATGCATAATGAGATCTATATGGTCAGAGAGAAGAAATATGGCAGAGAAGATGGAGTCTGTGATGTTAGGTCAAGTAGGCAGAAAGGACACATGCTGATGCCCTAAGGAGCTGGAGAGATGGCTCGGTGTTTAAGAGCATGTCCTGCTCTCTTTCAGAGGACCTGAGTTCAGTTCCCAGTATCCATATCCGTCTCACAACCATCTGTAACTCCAGCTCCAGGGATCTGCCATTCCCTTCTGGGCTTCCTGGAAACCTGCACACAGACATATCACACACACATAAATAACAACAGCAACAACAAACAAAAGTAAATATTTAAGAAAATACTTTGGTTCATTTCATCTTACAACTTACAGTTGCAGGGAAGTCAGGGACTCACAGAAAGAACCTGGAGGCAGTAACTGAAGCAGAGGCTGTAGTAATTAGGGGCGGCGGGGCATGGCGTCTCTCTCTGAGGCGTCTGCTCCCGAGAGAGCTGTGTAGTCTCTGAGCTCACTTCCTCTTCCTCCCAGCGTTCTGTTCTGTTTACTCCTCCCACCTATCCTCTAACCAATAAAATGAGCCAGGGCAGTTCCTTTATTAGCCAATGACCTTCCTCCATCAAGAGGCCATAGAAGGAAGCTGCCGACTGGCTCAGTCCCATGTCCTGCTCAGGAAATTGTGAAATTGTGTGTGTGTGTGTGTGTGTGTGTGTGTGTGTGTGTAGTTATATGGTGTTTATTTATATATTTATACATAATTTATGTTTGTATATGTAATATGTTATAAATAATGTATACAACTCAGGTAATACCTGTGGTAATACCGCATCAGTGTGTTGGGTCTTCCCAAATCAACCATTAATCAAGAATGTTTATATAATTATGCATAACGCAATGCTACACAGACTTGCCTATAGACCAATCTGATGGATGTGGTTTTTTTTTTCAGTCGGGGTCCCCTCGTCCCAGATGAATCTAGCTTTGTCAAGTTGACAAAAAACTATCAAGCACAGATGACTTTCAGAAAAGATGTGATGTCAGCAGGTCATCGGAATGTTAGGGAGGAGGATTTTAGCAGAGAGAATAATATTCACAAAGGCCTGAGGCGGGAGTGTGTCTGGTGGGGACAGGAAGACAAAGAGGCCCATTGACTGGACTGGGGAAGCGGGAGGAAGAGTCCTGGGAAGTCTTTGAGGTCATGACCTTGTAGAGAACAGCAAGCAAGAACCTGGTATTTTACTCAGAAGGCTCCATGGTCTGACTGACTTAAGTCAGACTCATTCTGGGAACAGACTTTGAGGGTCAAGGGCAGAGGCAAGAAGAAAGGAAAAGAAAACACAAAAATGCTCCTCTGGACAGTATGCTGACTAGTTTTACGTCAACTTGACACAAACTAGAGTAAACTGAAAAGATGGACGGTCAGTTGAGAAAATCCCTCCATAAAATCCAGCTGTAGGGCAGTTTCTTAATTAGTGATTGATGGAGGAGGGTCCAGCCCACTGTGGGTGATACCATCCGTGGGCTGGTGGTTCTGGGGTCTACAAGAAAGCAGATTGAGCAAGCCACTAACCAGCACGCCTCCATGATCTCTGCATCAGTTCCTACTTCCTGGTTTTTGCCTTGTTTGAGTTCCTGTGCTGCTTTCTTCAATGATGGACGACAATGTGGAAGTGTGAGTCAAATAAACCCTTTCCTCCCCAACTTGCATTTGGTCACAGTGTTTCATCACAGTGCTGGTAACCCTAAAACAGATAGGAAATGGTGGTTTGGAACACTGAAGAGAGTGAGGCAGATTGCAGTCACAGCTGGAAGGCAGAGCTGTTAGATACCCCAGGTCTAGGCATAAGGGGTTGGAAGCCTGAGGTTTCATGCAGAGAGAGTGGGAGCAACAGGGTGGCCATCCTTTTGTAAAGGCCGCCGGTACAGTGGATGCTGCAGGGCTAGAATGCCTCGAATTATCTGCATTTACTCTTAAAAACCTGTTAGACAGCCAAGTAGAGCCATCAAATAGATGAACACCCAGGAGAGAGATCCAGGCCAGAGACACACTTGTAAGTTATTAACAAGAGGCCTGGATCCAAGCTGTGACACTGAATGAACAGTGTCATGGGCAGAACAGGGAAAGAGACCCTTGGTGGAAGCCAAACAAGTGAGATGATTAAAGGCAGCAAGACAGTGTGTAGAGCCTCTGAAATTCCCTTCTCTTCCCGGTAAGAGAATGCTTGCTGTCAATCATGAGAATAAACCTCATTTTGATCCCTTGAGTTAAAGAGTCACCCTCTACAGACTCAAAAACTGCACTACACACAAACTTTACTGGGAGGAGTAGCAGCACCCCACAGTTATGCGCCATTAATGATTAGCTGAGCCCTCGGAGGATCTGATGTGAGAACCATCTGCTTCAGTGCTATTCTCTCCTCCAGGGCTGCGGGAGCTCTGGAACTACTTCCCAAGAGGGAAGTAGACCAAACTACCTCCAGAGAGAGTTCCAGAAGCAGCTTGGCAAGTAAGTGTTCCTGTAAGAGACAGAAGGTGGGGGCACATGCACTGTGATGACTCTGACCAGTCATGAGGAGTAACAGTTGTCAGGGAGGGTGAAAACTCCCCCATGGAAGACAAGATCTTAAAACCCCTAGGAGCCACAAAGGGAATGTCACAGGGTCTTCATAGGGGTACAACATTGGATAGAGGAAAGGGGAACCAAAAGTAGAGAGCTAGACAGCTGGGCAGAAGCATAGGCAGAAACTAAGAGGTATCTGGGGTGAAGGAGTACATGCTTATTTGAAGAAGTGAGGCCAGAAAATAAGGAGGAGTCAGCCATCGAAAGGGAGATACCAGCGACCAGGAAAGCACTAGGTATGGCTGGCCATGCCTGGAAAGGAAACTCTCACCTCGTCTTTGAGAATGCAGGAAAGAACATGGAAGTGCCACAGACGAGCATTCTCAAGGCCTCTGCCTAGACCAAGGGAACTGGGAATCCAGCCAAGGGGATAGATTGGCTGGATTCTCTGAGTCAAAGGTCATCGGGTTTAAAATTCTGCAATCTCATGCAGAAGAAAACAGGACAGACTTCAAAGACCAGTGTATATAGACTCAGAACATCTTTCCCTGGAGCTAATATAGTAGAAAACAATAACAGCAGCTATAATCCTGCAAGTTGCTGTTTATGTTAGATCCTGCAGTGTACATTTTCAGGCACGTCAATCAAAACTAACTCCAACGTTAATGTATTAGTCAACAGTTGGTGCACTGGCAAGCATCCCGAGCATTCCACAGCGCTCAAATATATACATGTTTCCTTCTAAACATAGATCTAGGATGTGCCTACCAAACTTAGCTGAAGAATAATGGAAGTTTGGAAATGGCCGGGTTGGGCTTAGGTGAGTTCCTTAGGGCACCACTCTAGGACCCAGGAAGAAGGGTAGTGCTCATCTGAGATCTCTAGTTCTCATGGGAAGTACCAGAAATGGAACTAGGGAGATGGCACAGTGGGTAAGAACACTCACAGCAGTAGCATGAGAATCCACATTCAGAAGCCGAGCAGGCTTGTAAAAAACTGGGTCTGTGTGAGCCCAGTGCTTGGGGATCAGAGGCAAAAGGATCACTGGGGCGTTCTGGCCAGCAAGCCTACCTGGGAAATGGCAAGTTCTAGATGCAATTAGATACCCTGTCACGTGGGGGGGGGGGACATAGAGAAGGTTACTCGGTGTCTTCCTCTGGCCTCTGCACGCATTCACGGGCATGCTCATGTGCACACCTGTAAATGTGCATGCACACAGTGCACACACACACACACACACACACACACACACACACAGGGTGGGGGTGTAAATGCAAATCTGACCAACCCATAGTGATCCTATTAACCAGAGCGTATCTCACTACCAAGCCGAAGTCAATATCAGGAGACTATAGACTCTCCCTCCACACTGCACTGGCAGTGAGTGGGCTGACGTAACCTGACTACAGGGAGCCACAAAATAATCCAGCACTCATACTTTAAGCTAAAATAGTATGTTACCTGGGATTGGACATCCACTGCGGCAGGAACTGGAGGGTGGTGCCGTAGGGGAGTGGCACACAGAGGAGTCTGAACCAGGCACTCAGTGTCGGTTCATTCCACTTACAAATACAACCAAACAACCCTGGCGGGTGGAAACAGCTCTCTTCGCTAGCTGACGGCGAGTCTCATAGTCTAGTAGGGAAGAGTTCACCTACATCTCCTTCCTTTGCAGCTCCAACCATGCATTGGCTGTGGAAAATTCCAAGATATTGTACCCTTTGGGGTACTCAGATGTCCATTCGTACATTCCAAATCAATAGCAAGAAACTAACACCCATACCGTGGGGCAACCAGGAAGAAGTACCTGCCAAGTTCAACTTCGCTAGTGATGTGATAGACCACTGGGCCAACATGGAGAAGGTAATGGGAGCAAGAATGGCACAGCTGGGTCAATTTCATTCACTTATCAGTTCATTCAGTTGAGATTGGCAGGATGCTTAATACATCTCAGACAGGAGAAGAGCTGTGAACAGGATGTTCATCTTCTTTGAAGCAGTGTAGGGCGACTTGGGAGAAAGAAAGGCAGGAGAGTTCTGGGGTTCTGTCGGAGAAGCTTCATATGCAGCTGTCAGTGGTGGCTGCAGAGACTCACAGCTGGCCAGTGGGCTGAGAAGCAGTGATTATTGAATGCTCCATCAATAGGACATTTCTATCACCTTCTCGGAGGTTCAGGAAGTACTATGAGAGAAGGGACAGAAGGAACGTAGGAAGTGGGGGTGTGAAATGTGATCTCTGGGCACGAGATGGCTGTTACTCTTGAACTCACAGTGACTAATAATTACCTGTACTAGATTTCATGGAGTAGGGAGAAGCTCAGGGGACCCCACTCCTCTCAGAGGATTTATATGCAGTTAAAGGTTAAAGAGTGACAGAGAGACATTTTGTTCAGTAGTGTAACCACTAGAAATGTGTCCATGTTTCTATAAACAAAGCCAGAAGCAACACTAATAAAACTTCCTGGGAACCACAGGCACACACACACACAGACACACACACACACATACACACACACACAGACACACACACACACACACACATACACACACACACATACACACACATATATCATACCCACCTCCAGTTGGGAGAAAGAAGGCGATCGAGAAACATGGGAAAGGGTGGGAAGGTGACAGAAGAGGCTGGTAGGAGGATGAATACGATTGAAATGCATTGTGCACATGTATGAAAATATTGTAATAAAACTTATGATCGTGTATAACTAATACATGCTACTCCAAATATTTTTTAAAAGAAGGTCTTAGGCACATGGGACATGTTGAAGAACCTAGTAATCCCACAACACACTCTCCAGTGTGACTTCTTCCTAGCATGAAATAAAGAGCAATGGGCTGGGGCACAGATGGGATGGGTGAGCTTGTCATGGACTGAGCGTATAGTGCCCTAGTAGGCTCAGTTTAAACACTTGGTCTCCTGCTGGGGACAATGGTTTGGGAGGTGATGGCTTTAAATGGTGGGATTAGATGAATTCGGTCACTGGGAACATAACTTGAGGGGTTTTGCTTAGTCTGTGGTCTCTGCTTCTTGTCACAAAGTGAGTAGACCCTGTCATGACGCCCTGCCTCGCCATGTGCTCAGAGTAATGGGTCCAAGCAATAATGATCAAAGCCTCTGAACCCTGGAGCTAAGAGACATATCAAGGTGTTTATCACAGTTATGGCCAGCCTGATTAGCATGGATTATAGTAGGAAATCGGCGACAACTCAAGATTGAGCCAGTCTTCTCAGAAAGCTAAGCCACATGTCTCTGACACCCAAGTGTGCAAGTGAGATGCCCACCTGGCAGGGAATAAAGGGCTTCAGCGAAAGAGATGGAGAGGGAGGAGAGGCAGACACTTCCAAGATCCTGTCCATCTCTGAGTTTCATCTGCTACCTGCCCACCACCTGCCTCCACCTCAAATCCGTTTCTGGAGGATGGACCAGCTCACATGGGCTAAGGCAGGAGAAAGGCCAGACTTAGCCAGCAGGGGCGTCAAACAGGACCACCCAGAGGCAGCTGTGACAGTGCTGTTCTGAGGTCCTGGCTCCGCAACACGACCTTCACCTGGAGATTGCATCATTCTCTATGCTGAAGACGGAACAAGGTGGGAGGTTGTTGTGTGCCTCTTCCAGGAAGACTATTGCTGCCCGTGCCAGACAAACAGTGTAATGACAGACGGAAGGGCTGATATGATCCAGGTCAAGACTGATGAAGCAATGAGCCTGAAACAGTAAATTGTGGGGTGTGGGTGAGGAGTTACAGGAGCATGAGTAACTCAAGGATGTGTGTGCCTCTGAGAAGCCCTCAGCTTCTCCGTGTATCAGTGATGCTCCTGGAACAACTGGCAGGCAACTACAGCACCAGCAGCTGTTCGCTACACATGGAACAACCTGGACTGACCTATAGAAGATTCACATGCCTTGCGCATCTTGCGGACTTGGACTTCATTGTTTTGTCAGTTCCCGAGCCCAGAGCCTCGCCTTTCCATCCACAAGAGCGTGTTTCAATCCAGAGGAAGGAACTGTGTGACAAGGGTGATGTTAACAACACAAACAGTATCTATTTCTATGCCTGTAGGTATGCTTGCATAGACTAAAGTACATGTGTGTACATGTTGGTATGTGCTGGTGCACATGGAGGCCAGAGGTCAACCTCAGTTGCCCTTCCTCAGCCCCACCACTCTGGTTTTTGAGACAACGTCTTTCACTGACCGGGAGCTCATCAAGTACCTTAGACTGACTCTACAGCAAGCCTCAGGCACCTGCCTGACTGCTTCCCCAGGGCATGAATGGCGAGTGTGTGTCACCAGGACTGGTTCTGGTTAACGTGTGTTCTGGGGGTGGAACTCAGGTCCTAGAGTTTCCATGGACAGCACTGTCCTGAGTGAGTGGTCTCCTCAGCTAGCTTCTTGATTTTTTTAAAGTTATTTCTCCTAGAACTACTGAGGAAAAGTCTTTCTGCTACAGGTCATGAAAGAAATAGTTACATAAACCAGAGAACTGGAAACTAATAATAATCAAGGGGGAAATACTGAATCCGAGGACGAGAATTCGAAAAGGGTTGGAGGGAAGATCCACCTGCAAGGATGCCTCCCAAATCACTTCCTCTACCCAGGACCCTCTTCTTGCTTTTCACGGTCCCCCAATGCCACATTATGAATCCATCAAGCCATTAATCCATTGATTAGATCAGAGCCCACATCATCCGATCATCTCTGGAAATGCCCAGGCATACATCGAGGGTTATATTGGGGTTAAGCCCCATGAAACCTCTCAGGATTCAGAAGGATTACTCTAGCAGGCAAGAACGTAACTAATAGGGTCTGAGAGTAAACGAAATAAATTAGACCACATAAATCTTTTTATCATGTCCTATTTATTCTTCCTATGTTCTCTCTATTGTTCTCTTGATGTTCCCCTTTTGATGATCCTCCTTGTTCTTCATTGTTCTTCCTATCCCACAAGGTCCCCAGTTTGTATACCCACACAGACAGTTGGCAGCTTTCTGGTAAATAGCAGTGATATCAAGCATGCATTTCTTAGGGCTACCAGGATGAATAAAAGACTAACAAGGCAGGTACCTTATGTGTCAGAAGGGGCCTGGCTGTGAGAGAATTAGGATGGAGCTTGTCCTCCCAGGCTAAGCATCCTGGTGCTATATTCACTGGTACCCATGTGAGAAGGAATTTCTTTCTCTGGGGCTGCTTTAATGGCCCAAGGTTTTTTCCTATATATCTTAGGGGTAAAGGTACAAAGAGTGAATTTCCTAGACTAAGGCCTTGTGTCAAATTAAAGGTGAAGGTTAGTACAGAATATTAATAGCTTGTTAGGGTAGAGCAAAGGACAGTAGGTTACACTCTCCTGAGTTGGCAGTTAGAGAATTCAGGGACACTCAGTCCTGCTTATTATGAGTAAGAGCAGACACACTGTCTCTCTGTTCAGTGCCTCCTGCCCAGGGCTCCTTTCCCATCAGTATGTCCTGACAATAAGGATAATTGTGGGGGTCTAGCTTTATGTGGATTTGACTATGAGAACAAAGGTTTGCCTGAGCGAATGCTCTCACACCAGGGTCCCACAGCGTGGAGAAAGGCATACAGTTGTCAAGACAGGAAGAGTCAGGCTTAAAGAATGATTTATACACTGCTGGGATATTTTGGGGTGAATCCCATGATGGAAGGGAGAAACATCATGATTTCTCAAGATTCCTACAGAACTGACAGTGACTATCCAAAAGGGGAGTGTTCTCGAAGCTTTGCAAATCGAGTTCTCCACCAGATCATAGTCCTGTGGGTCTGTCTATGTCCGTGTGCTCTGACTGTATAATCCCTGTGGCTCACCTCAGAGGTGCACTCTGCTCATCTCTTAGGCCTCCTCAAGCCAATCCAGCTAGCAATCAAAATTATCTATCACAGTAATATAGATTGGGTTTTAATTGTTATTTTTAAAGCACGCAGATTAAAAGTCTCTGTTTTAATATAGTGTTGATAGACCTAACCCTCAGTTAAATCAAAGTTTTGAAGGTTTTCAACACTTTGCAATAGTGTGTGAATGTCCTCAGAGCAACAAGCCTACCCCTAGACTTGCAATTTGTTCTGTTTGCTGTGTCCCCACGTGTGTCTTCTCACCAGGTCTTCTCTTTCGTCAGGCTGGCAAGAGACCTCCTCGCCCAGCCCTGTGGTGGGTGAGTGGCAGCGGGCAAGAGCTGAAGTGGAACTTCCGAGAACTGAGTGAACTCAGTCAACAGGCAGCCAACGTCCTCTCGGGGGCCTGTGGCCTCCAGCGTGGGGACCGAGTGGCGGTGGTCCTTTCTCAAGTCCCAGAGTGGTGGCTGGTAACCCTGGGCTGCATACGGACTGGTTAGTAACTGCCCACACAGGCTGGGCACTCTCTCTTGTAAAGGAAATGGAAGGCAGAGAAATGCAGCTTCCTCTCCCCCAAAGAACTGCCCCCATAGAACACCCTGTCCTTCCTTCCTACTGGTCCTCACACCCCATCTGCCCTTCCCTGCCTGCCCCCAAGGATGTCCACAGCCTCTCTCTGTGGAAGA